CCTCCACATCTCACCTTCATCCTCCACATCTCACCTTCATCCTCCACATCTCACCTTCATCCTCCACATCTCACCTTCATCCTCCACGCGCTTGGAATGTTTCCCTTTCCCTTTGCCCTTGTCGGACTTGCCGACCTTGTCTCTTCCTTTCTTCCCCTTCTTCTCCTCCGGCTGCTTCTGCTTCTCCTGGACTCGGCTGTCTTTTCCTGGGGCAAAAACAAAGACAGGAGATTCGGGTCAAAGGTACTTAAGTTCTGGTCAGCATTTTGCGGCACTTGCAACACAAAAAAGTCATACAAGTGCCGAAGATTAGAGGTGTTACAAGAGAGGAACAAACACAACAATGAAGGGGATTTTCTCTTTTTTTTTTTAAAGTAAGGTTTTTACAGCACTTGCAAAACAATAAGGTCATATATGCACCAAAGATTACAGGTGTGACAGGAGAGTAACAAACACAACAAAAAAAAGGAGAGATAATAATAATAATAGTAAAAATATAGCATTTATGCTGCGCATTTCCATTTTCTAAAAAATACTCAATGGGCATTACATCATCACATCTTACAAATTCATCGACATGTGTGTACGTAAAACACAGATAGGGATGATAGATGTTTGATAGGAAAGAAGGAGCAATCCACACCCGAGCACCCGCCAACCAAAAAGACTTAGCGACCTCTGTGCTTACATGTCGCATCTTCATTTTCAATAACACTGAAAACAGTTCATAACAAAGAGTGAGGTAAAGAAGAAGTCACATTTTCACTGTTTAAAAAAATGGAAATACGACAAGAAAGCACTACGGTCGCGTCGCGACTTACTCATGGACTGCGTGACGCTGACCGACTCGTCTCCCCACTCGCTGCCGTTTTCTGCGACCTCATCGTCGCTCTCGCGCGGCTGAGCCGGAGGTTTCGGAACCGCAGCTCCGATTTTCGCGGCCAGCTCCGAGGCAAAGTCTCTTTGTCCACCTGAAGGCTGAAAAGCAACGACAAAGTGTGTCCTTTATAGTTTCATTTTCAGCTTTGCTTTTACAGC